CGCATCACGCTGATCCGCGGCAACCACGAGAGCCGGCAGATCACGCAGGTGTACGGCTTCTACGACGAGTGCCTGCGCAAGTACGGCTCCGTGACCGTGTGGCGCTACTGCACCGAGATCTTCGACTACCTCAGCCTCTCGGCCATCATCGACGGCAAGGTGCGCGCGGGCACGCGGGGACACGCGGGGACACGCGGGGGACACGCGGGGAACACGCGGGGAACACGCGCGGAACGCGCGCGGAACGCACGTAGAACCCGCGCGAAACGCGCGCAGAACACGCGCTTTAACATGCATAGAACACGCGCTTTAACATGCATAGAACACGCGCAAAACGCATGGGAAACATGTGTGGAACATGTGTGAGACACGTGCAGAACGTGCGGGAAACGTGCATAGATCATGTGGCGAACACGCGTGGAACGCACGTAGAACCCGCGCGAAACGCGCGCAGGACACGTGCTGAACATGCGCAAAACGTGCATGGAACACGCACAGAATACATGGGAAACATGTGTGGAACATGTGTGAATCGCGTGCAGAACATGAGGGAAACATGCATGTAACACGTGCCGAACAGGCGTGAAACGCGCGCAGAACGCGTGCTGAACATGCGTAGAACGTGCGCAAAACGTGCACGGAACACGCACAGAATACATGGGAAACATGTGTGGAACACGTGTGAATCACGTGCAGAATGTGCGGGAAACATGTATAAAACACGTGCCGAGCACACGTGAAACGCACGTAGAACCCGCACGAAACGCGTGCAGAATGCATGGGAAACATGTGTGGAACATGTGTGAAACACGTGCAGAACGTGCGGGAAACATGCATATAACACGTGCTGGACATGCGCAGGACACACGCAAAACGCGTGCTGAACACACGCAGAACACGCGTGAAGTGTGCACGGAACACACAAGGGACACGCGGGAAGCATGTGACAAACGTGCAGAGCACACGTGAAACGCGCGCAGAACACGTGCTGAACACACAGGAAACGTGTGTGGAACATGTGTGAAACGCGTGCAGAATGTGCGGGAAACATGCATAGAACACGTGCCGGACACGCGTGAAATGCGTGCTGAACACACTCAGAACACGCGTGAAATGTGCACAGAACACACAGGAAGACGCGGGAAACACGTGCCAAACACGTGCAGAACATGCAGAGGACACGCGGGAAACGTGTGTAGAACATGCGTGAAACGCGCGCAGGACACACGTAAAACACGCGCAGAACACGCACAAAGTACACGCTAGATGTGTGTCGAACATGGGCTGAACACGCACACGCCAAATGCGTCGAACACGCGCCAAGCACACGCTGGACACGCAGGAAACACACGCAAAGCACATGCTAAATGTGTGTGGAACACGCGTGGGACACGCGCTGAACCCACGCAGAACACGTGTGGGACACGCACTGAGCACACGCGGAACATGCGTGGGAAACACACACAAAGTACCTGCTAAATGTGTGGAACACGTTTGGGACACGCGCCGAGCACACGCCAAGCACATGCGGAACACGTGTGGGACACGCGCCAAGCACACGCGGAACATGCGTGGGACACGCGCCGAGCACACGCTGAGCACACGTGGGACACGCCAAGCACACGCCGAGCACACGTGGGACATGTGCCCCCTGCCTAGGGGGCAGTCCGGCGGCACACGCTAAGCACACGCTAAGCCCACGCGTGCCCGCAGATCTTCTGCGTGCACGGCGGCCTCTCGCCCTCCATCCAGACCCTGGACCAGATCCGGACCATCGACCGCAAGCAGGAGGTGCCGCACGACGGGCCCATGTGCGACCTGCTCTGGTCCGACCCCGAAGGTGCGCCCGTCGGCACGCGTGTGCTCGCGTGTGCTCGCGTGTGCTCGCGCGGGGGGGGGCGCGGGGTTGCGTGCGGCGGCCCCCGTGCGCCTCGAAGGACACCGCGGGCTGCGGCGGGGCGGGGAGGTGACACCCCGCATTGTCACCCCATTGTCACCCGCATTGTCACCCCATTGTCACCCGCATTGTCACCCCATTGTCACCCCATTGTCACCCGTTCTGTCACCTGCACGCTTACCCCCATTGTCACCCCCATTGTCACCCACTCCGTCACCCGCACACTTACCGTCATTGTCACCCCATTGTCACCCGCATTGTCACCCCATTGTCACCCCATTGTCACCCGTTCTGTCACCTGCTCTGTCACCCCCATTGTCAC